TGTAACATCCTAAAGACCTTCTGGACTGTAGTTGTATTAGTTACAACATCGATTTTTCTATAGTGTTATTTTTATCTGATCTCTCTTTGTTTGCATCGTGGCACATCTGTGAACAGAGCAGATCATTCTTTCAGGATTCTCAGGATTTTTCTTTGAATACCAAATTTACTAATACCAACTCTGATCTTTCCTAAGATTTCTCATCCACTGCCTTGGGTTTGGGTTCTTCCAATATTTTTATATCCATGAAGTGCATCATTACATTGTTTGGGATATCTCAATTTCATAACAGAGAATCCAAAGCTATGTCCTCCCCTTCTAAAAGTGCATTAATCTTTTTCTTTTAGCATTGTGTGGGTCTGAGATTGCCCACAAGATAAAGTGGTTGAAATTGAGCAGAACACCATGGGCAGCCACATGGATGAGGACATTCTTGAAAAGGATTTCAGGATGTTAACATCTCTAGGTTGTGGTTCCTTCGGAGAGGTGAAGCTGGCCTGCCACCTTCCCACACATACACGAGTGGCTGTCAAGGTCCTTGAGAAAAACACCAACAGTGTGGCTGACATCAGTACTGAAGTGAACATCCTTCAGTCTTTAGAACACAGGAACATCGTTCGATTTTTTGACATGATTGATACACTGTCAACCACTTATCTGATTATGGAGTATGTGGCAGGAGAAGATCTGGAGAGCTGCCTCCAGGCACTGGGCTGTCTAAAGGAGGAGGAGGCTAGAGTGATTTTCCGGCAGGTGGTGTCAGCGGTTCACTTCCTCCATCAGAGCCACATCGCACACCGTGATATCAAATTAGAAAACATCCTAGTCGATGCAGCAGGAAATGCAAAACTTTGTGACTTTGGTATGGCAATTAAAATCACAGAGGGGCAGATGTTGGAGGATATCTGTGGCTCCTTGCTCTATTGGGCCCCAGAGATCTTGGCCAGAAAGCCCTATGATGGACTGGCAGGTGATATGTGGAGCTTGGGTATCGTCCTGTATGTCCTGGTCACAGGGCACTTCCCATACATGGAAGAAACCCTTGAAGGTATGCACAGGGTCATCACCACCACAATGTGTCCCATTCCCTACCATCTGTCAAAACCCTGTTATTTCATCATTGCCCGACTACTCATGGTCCCTATCTGCTACCGATTCACAATCTGTCAGCTTGTGAAAACAGCATGGCTGGGCCCAATTCAAGAACATGTACTGCCTGCCACCAAAGAAATCCTGCCCAGGGTCGTGGAGACCATGTGCACCATCGGCTATACATGTGAGGAGATTGTTTCATCCTTAACTCACAGGCAAGGAGATAATCATGTAACAGCTACTTGCAACATTCTCAAATATCAGCTGAGTGGTGGGGACAGCCATCAGCAA